GGGCTGGGAGGGCAGTGGGGGAGGGGCCCACCTCGGATGTAGATTTCCTTCACCGACTTGTCCTCGGGCTCCAGTTCCACCTGGATTGTGGGCCGGAAGAACACGTACTTGCTCTCCATGCTGTTGAGGCTGCAGGAACCTGACAGGCGCTGGTCGTCTAGCAGGGAGAGGTGCCAGGAGACAGTGAGGGGCAGGGCGGGAGGAAGGTTTGGGAGATGCTGGCCGGGCAGCCGCTGCTGGGGCCAGGCTGGGGTCTGCCGGGTTTGGAGGGAGACTTCCCTACACTCCCACCTGCCCCCTGAAGCCACCCCCCCCCACTTACACCCACCCTGACCTGCGCCCCCCGACATTCAGCCCTCCGCGCAATGGGAGGCTGGGGATGGGTGAGGTGGCCCGGCGGGCACCCCAGCTCCACTGTCACTCACCGACGATGGGCTTTTCCGACACAGAGGAGGAAGGGAGGAAGGTCGGGTGCGGGCGGGGCCGGGTGACCACTTTGGGGAAGTCCGAGTAGCCCAGGCGGGTGCAGAGCTCTGCGAAGTCGGTCTCCAGGGACCCGGTGCACTGGTACTCCTCTGCGGGAGGGAGGGCAGCAGCTTGGCCTCAGGGTGGGTGGGCCCCCTCTGAGGTGGATGGTCTTACAGGCATTTTAAAATGTCAGCCCCACGCTGAAAACAGTGGGAAATAAAGACGTGGGAGAACGGACTACAGGGAGTGGAAATGTGCTGGCTTCTCCTCCCACCCAATCAGTCAGGCGCTTCCACTGGCTCCCAGCTCCCTGCGCCCGCCCCCCCCAGGGTGTCCCCAGCCCAGCCAGGCCTGATGGAGCAAAAGAAGGAACGACCTCTTCACTCCCCTCCCAGCCCACAGACCCCGAGGTCCAGCAGAGCTGCAGGCTTTTATGTATTTAGCAAACATTTGTACGCACTTACTCCTTTCCCGCGATGTTCAAAAGCTTTAGAAATATTAAGGCATTCGGACAGATGCCCACCGCATCCCACTACTCAAACCTGAGGCGCTGAGTCCCCAGGGACCCTGCTTTTTCCTGCTCCAGGAAGAAGTGGTTCCCAGAGATGGGAGGGGGGCCCCTGGCAAATGGGAGAAACTGCCAGCTCCTCCTCCTTTAAGATCTCTGATATCGCCCTGGCTGGTTTGGCTCAGTGGATAGAGCGTCGGCCTGCGGACTGGGGGGTCCCGGGTTCGGTTCCGGTCAAGGGCATGTACCTTGGTTGCGAGCACATCCCCAGTGGGAGGTGTGCAGGAGGCAGCTGATCAATGTTTCTCTCTCATGGATGTTTCTAACTCTCTATCCCTCTCCCTTCCTCTCTGTAAAGAATCAATAAAATATATTTTTTTAAAAAAGATCTCTAATATTGGGTCCTCCCTCAGATACTCTTCCTTCGGGCTTTCCTATCTCCATCTGCCTCCTCAATCCAGAAACCTGGGAATCATTCTTGCTATGTTCCTTTCTCGCCACCCCATCTAGTACACCAATTCTTATTATTTCTGCCTCCGAAGTAGTTCTCCCAGGAGCCTAACCCCTTCTCCCTCATGCCCCATTCCAACCACCACTGTCTCTCACCTGGACTCTTGAAATATCTCATAACCCATCTCCCCGCCTCCGTTCTCTCCCCTTCCACGCCATTTTCCATACAGAGTGGGGTGCGTGTGTGTGTTTAATGGCACTGGGGTTTGTCCTGTCTCTCCTGGAAAATGCTTTCTCCAGCTCTCATCATTCCCTCCCCTTAGCCACCAGCACTGACAAGGAGATGGCACCTGACCAAGGTCTCATAACCTTTCTCAGCGTGCTTTATGGGGAGTCCAGGAACAGCAAGTTCCTGCCCCTCTTGGATGGCAAAGCTATGGCTGTGAATCAAGACGCCTTCCAATAAATCGCCTTTTGTGGATCATTAGCTTAGGCTGGGGTTCTACCACTTGCAACACACAGAGCCATACTCCTGCCTAGACTTTTCTCATGATTTTCTTACCACAGAGAATGTAAATTCCATGCACGTAGGACTGTGCCCATCTTTCTTTTTGTGTTGCATCTGGCTGAAGAGCAG